AATTCATAGGGGTTAAGTAATTTATGTAAATGTATTCAGCCAGTAAGGGTTGGAGCTGTAGATTCAAGCCAAGCATTCAACCCCATTCCATTGTTACATTTACATTACCTCTGTAAGAGGAACCGTCCCCGAAATACAGCCTGACAAAGAGTACCCCTCAATGAGTGTTCAGTTCTACTCTGTCTTTCTTCCCATTGGGTACCGTGTTTTCATACACTCTGGGAGGGCAAACTACTAATCAAAATATTACTTAGTATGCATGAAGTGAAAGATAAAAGATAGATAATTTGAAATGGCACTTTAAGCAAGCCAAAATGAAGACTCTTCTACTGATTAGATTATACTTACATGTCAGATTTGATGTCTCATTTTTTTGGAGAGTGTTAGGCAAAGCCAGTCAAACCTCTGACACTTTTTCCTAGGGTCCAAATACTTGAAACACTCCTGCTTACAGTTTTTCAGTTAGGTTTCAACTTAATTACAGTTGTCACACACTCCTACCACAGTTTGATTTTGTTTATGTGTTTTTCTATACCAGCTCTTTGGAATGGGTTGTTTAATAGCTCATTCTTTGCGTTATGCATTTTTTTCTCATGGAAAATTTCTATTGTGAAAAACTGTAAATTTAGAAAATCATTTAAGAGGAAAGAAATAATCACTTATAACCTATTTTTTTCTAGTCTTTTTCCTTCCTCATTAAATGTATAATTAAAAAAAATTTATTTTATTTATTTATTCATTTATTTTCATTTGACCAGAGAGAGACACAGAGAGAGGAAGAGCAAGGGAAAATGAGAAAGCAAACTACCAGGTCTGAGACTCGAACCATGGTCAGCCATGTGGGAGTGTCCAGCACCTTAACCACCACGCCACCTGCTGGCCCCCCAAAATGTATAAGTTTTTAATACTTATTTATTTAGAGATTTTTTCCCCCTTTTTTTGCTATAGGGCATGTGCATTCACCAGAAAGATAGAGGGAGAGATACAGTGAGAAATCACTTCCCAGGGGATAGCCATGCTGCAGTCCCTTCTCCTTTAGTCTCCTCATGGGATTTTGGGTGTGCATACACACGTGCCTGGTGTGAGTTTCAAGTTGCTGGGTCTAGGACTTAAATAGCACAGCCGGCCACAGGATCTAGCAACCTAACCTCCACGTCACCTGCTGGCCCTGTACATGAGTTTCAGTGTGAGCTCAAAGTGGTGCAATTTTTGCATCTTGCCTTTGTATGTAATAATTAGAAGCAAATTCTTCACGAGATCTGGTGGCATCACACATCAGATATGAGGACCCACTTCAGTGATTTATTTATTTATTTATTTATTTTTAAATTGCCAGAGGGCACATGTGCTAGCCAGATGGGGACAGAGAAACAGAAGAAGAGAGAAATGGAGAAAGCACTCCCCCAATGTTACGGTCTCTTTTCCATTTCTTCCATCGTGTCAAAATTTTGAGCAGGCACACATTCACATGTGCCTGGCAAGTTTTTCAAGTCACAGGGGTTAGGATTTGAACTGTGGTCGACCATATGGGATCTAGCTCCCTTAACTAGTAGGCCATGTACATGAGTTTCAGTGTTTCAGGCCATGGGGCTGGCCCCAGTGTTTCTTTTTTTTGTATTCATTCATTATGAAGTTCATGCTCCTGCTATAAGGCAACCTTTGATTGCTCTTTAGTGCTCTGGCATTGTTTGGGCAGAATCGCTGTCAGGATCCAAAGTTTAGTGGAAGGAAGGAGTTAAGGCTGTCTGCTGTATGGAATTGTCCTGTGTAAGTGCCCTGAGAGCTCAGAGCAGCCGTGTGTTTATCAGAACTACCCCTAACCCCTCTGATTGCATTTGGCATGTCACAGATTACCTCAGTGATCCCAGGGACTGTTCTTTTTTTGGGGGAGCCACTTTTCTGACAGATGGCCTATCTAAAACTTTTTTAAAAAATTATTTTTTAAATAATTTGTCAGAGAGCATGGGCACATGTGCTTGAAAGAGAAACACAGAGGAAAAGAGAGAGAGGGAAAATGAAAAAGCACCCCATGGGAAACTGTCACATCACAATTCCTTCTTCTCCATTTTTCTCTCCTTTTGGAATTTTGGGCATGCACACACATGTGCCCAGCATGTTTGTCATACTGCTAGGTCCAGGACTCAAACTGTACAATCAACCATGTAGGGTCCAGCTGCCCTAATTTCAATGCCATCTGCTGGCCCTACTGTTTAGTTGTGATCATGTGTTTTTCTTTTTTTATTTCCATAGGGTTTGTGCACTCACTTATGAGAGAGAGAGAGAGAAAGCACACCTCAGTGGGACATGGTCATGCCACAATCCTTTCTCTTCCACTCCTCCATCCTGTCAGGACTTTGGGCACACACGCTCATGTGCCTGCTGTGTTTTTCAAGCCCCCAGGGCTAGGACTTGAACTGTGGTCAGCCATGTGGGATCTCATTCTCTCAACCGCTGAGCTGTAGGGGCTGGCCCAAAGATAATTTTTTTTTTCTTTATTCATGACAGAGCATGTGTGCATGAATGTGAAAGAGGAAGAAAGGGAGAGAGAAGAGCACCTCCACAGACTCTGGTTATGCCACCACATCTTGGGTACTCACATACACGCCCTGCATGTTTTAGGCTAACCAGTCTAGGGTCTGAACTATGGTCACCATGTAGGATCCAGCTTCTTCTGAGCAGAGTATTACAGCTGCATTACAAAACTGGGGGACCAGCAAGGTAGCATGGTGGTTAAGGCATGGGACCCTCCCACATGGCCGACTACGGTTCAAGTCCCGGATTTGGTGGCTTGCTTTCTCAGTTTCCCCCTCCCTCTTTCTATCTGTGTGTCTCTCTTTGGTCAAATGAAAATAAATGAATAAATAAAATAAAATAAAAAAATCTTTTAAAAAGCCCCAAAAACCAAAAACCAAAAAACAAAACTAGGCCTGTAAAGATAAATTTTACCTGTAAAGAAAATGACCACTGTACTGGCCCTATAGCCTAGTGGTTAAGGAAGTTAGATCCCACATGCCTGACGGCAGTTTGAGTCCCAGATCTTCAGGGCACATGTGTATGCATGCCCCAAATCCTGACAGAATGGAGAAATGATGGATCAGGGATTGTGGTGTGACTACACCACATCAGGGATGCTTTCTCTTTCCCACTCTGTCAATGTCTTTCTCTGGTAAGTGCACAGGCCTTCTGGCCCTACCCCCAACACTCCCCAAAAGACCGCTAATTCCAGTACTCAAAGTCTTGATAAAGAAAACAAAGGGGGGGCAGGCAGGTGGCATGGTGGTTAAAGACCCTGGAATCTCACATGTCTGACCACGGTTCAACTCCCAGACTTGGTGGCTTGCTTTCTTGCTTTCTCTTTCTTTCTGTCTCTAATCAAATTAAAAAATAATTTGAACAAATGGAATTAAAAATAATATTTTTAAAAAAGAAAATAAAGAAAACTAAGGGGGCCAGCAGATGGTGTGGTGATAAAGGTGCTGGATCCCACATAGCTGACTCATGGTTTAAGTCCCAGACCTAGCAGTTCGAAAAATGTGGTGGGTGCAAGCATGTCAAAAATCTTGAGAGGAGAATGGAGGAGAAAGGATTGTGGTGTGGCCATTCACCTGGGGGGTGATTTCTCACTTTCCTTCTCTCTTAGTTTCTCTCTGCCTCTCTCTGGTGAATACATGCACCTTATAGCAAAAAACTTGAAAAAAAAAAAAAGAAAGGAAGAGAGCATAAATCCACAATACAGGATTGAGAATGATGGGATTTAAGTGGTGACTTCAGATTCAAAGGCAATGGAAAGAGACGTTTATTTTTTATTTATTTATTTTTTTGGGTACTGTTCTAGTTCATCATGTTAATAAAGTTGAAAAATCTAGGGAACCAGCAGTTAGCATAATGGCTATGTCTCTGGACTCCCACGTAGTCGACCACGGTTCGAGTCCCGGACCCGGTGGCTTAAAACTCACGCCGGGCACGTGTGTGTGCGTGCGTGCCCAAGATCCCAAGAGGAGAATGGAGGAGAAGGGATTGCGGCGTGACTATCCCCCCTGGGGGGTGATTTCTCGCTTTCTGTCTCTCTGTCTCTCTCTGTCTGTCGAGCGCACGCGCCCTATAGCGAAAATCTCTCCAAAAAAAATCTATATAAAATGGACAGTTAGGAAAATTTTAATGGTCAGAATGAACTCAAGAAGTTGAAAATATGCACAGGTCAAATAAAGTATATTTTGTTCTTTTTTGTCCAGTTTTCCCAAAGTATCAGTATAGGGCCAAGTATCAGTGTGTTAGCTTTCATTTGCTACTTAACAGATAGTCCTGAAATTTCATGGTAATTGAAGTTATTTCATGGACCTGTTCACTGGCTATAATTTGTGTGTGTGTAGACATGTGTGCGCGTGTGGTGTTTTCAGATTGGATCTCGCTATGTTGAACTCTTGCCTCAGCTGGGACTAGAGGTTTTTTCCACCACACCTGGCTTTTTAGGTGGGCAGGGAATCAGACTTCCCCTGTGGCCTCGGTCTGCTGAGTAGCAGTGTCAGCCACTGTGCACTACTGTGGCCTACTTACTGGCTAAGGTTTTGTCTTCCTCCTATAGACTAAAGGCTTCTGGAGGGCAGGAACTTTGTTTGATTTGGTCTTGGCTGTTTCTTTAAGGTCTCTGAACGAATATTGGTTGAGTGCAGCAGCAAGTGATGAAATTTTATTTAACATGAGTGCAAGTGCTTTTTGAAGGTCCGAGGGTGCCCCTCGTAGGCCAGTCCTTGCTTGGGAAGCAGTGTTGAAGGCAGCGTCTCTTCACAGTTCAGAGGCCACAGGATGCTCCTGCAGAGGAGGCGCGGGCAGTGGAGGGCGCACCTGTGTACAGTGAGGGCAGGCGTGAAGGAGGGCGCTGGCAGGGTTTCATGGAGCTTTGTGTTTTGAATATGCCTGTTTGTTTTTGGTGTGTAGTGAATGATGCTACACTCTGGGCAGACTTTGCCTAAGTTTCATAAATATTTAATTGGCTTTTTCAGGAGAATAAAGGCAGCCCCGTTGATGACTGAAAATGACAAAGCATCCACCTAACAGACGAGGAATCAGCTTTGAAGTGGGAGCCCAGTTGGAAGCCCGGGACCGTTTAAAAAACTGGTACTTTTACATTTTTCTGTTAATTAAAGCCCTTCAGTAAAGAATTTTTGCCAGCACTGACAATGACTGGTAGTCTAGGCTTTTCTGTGGTGTTTTCCGGCTCTCTACTCTTGGAAGATAGAAGGAGACTAATGTCTAAAGCCGTGGGAATGTTCTTTCTCTGCGGTGGAGGGATCTCTGTGTGGAGGGCACTGTCCAGTGACCGCTTGTTTATACTTGTTTCCCGTTTGTGTCTGTTTATCTGAAGGGGTGATGGGAAGAGAGGCACGAGTGGCTGCGGGGAAGTGAAGAGTTAATAGTGGCAACTGTCTTGCTCTTGTCTGCATCTGTGAGAGAGGAGAGAGAGGAAGGATGGAAGGATGAGGAAAGGGGTTAGATCGTGTTTTTACAGCCCCTCTCATTTTCTGGGCGTGGCGTTGTATGGCTGAAATATAATCATCACATAGGGGTGCTGTCAGGGTAGATAGATTCAGAAGCTGAGGGGTTGCAGACTGTGTCATTGACTTGTGACCTCTGGCTGTGCATCGGCTTCATCTATAAATATGTGGATGGTGATACTGACCTCATAGGATTATTCTGAGACTTGAATAATAGAATATGTGGTGAAAGGTCTTACGAACTGTAAAATGATTGTTGTGGTTGAGAACATTCTAGAATTTGGTCATTTGCTTAAGGTGAGGGCGGATGTTTCACAACTCAAACCTTTTTGAGGTTTTATAAGGAAGAGTTTAGCCTTTTGGGAGGTAATCTGAAAACTGACAAGCCTGGGGTCTGAGAAGACAGAGAAAGAGAGACAGGGAGGTGCCTGGGGTAGAAAAGTGTCTGTGCTATTAGAATTAGAAACATTTGGAATATTTAGTTGTTTTTTTAGGCTCTTTGAATGATCTATAATTAGCTCCTTTGTGGTTTGTGTGTGTGTGTGTGTGTGTTTTGGCTGGAGGGTGTGTGTGCTTTGCCAGAGAGAAACAGAAAGAGAAAGAGGAGGGACCAGCAGTTAGTGTAATGGCTATGGTGTTGGACTTCCATGTAGTCGATCACAGTTCGAGTCCTGGACCTGGTGGCTTAAATTCATGCTGGGTGCATGTGTGTGTGTGCCCAAGATCCTGAGAGGAGAATGGAGAAGTGATTGGTGTGGCCAACCCTCCTGGGGGTGATTTCTAGCTTTCTGCCTCTCTGGTGAGCGCACACGCCCTATAGCAAAAACCTTTCCAAAAAAAAAAAAAAAGAAAAGAGAGAGAAAGAGGAGTGAGAAAACATTCCCCATGGAGAATGGTCATGCTGCAATCCTTTTTTCTCCATTTCTTCTTTCTTTCAAGATTTTGGGTACACATGCATGCATGCCTGGCTTGTTTCTGAAGATGTGGGGTCCAGGACTTGAATTGCATAGTTGGCCATGTGGGATCTGGCCACCTTTAACCAACACACTACAGGCTGGCCCAGGTATGTGTATGTATGTATATATATATATATACACACACACATATATTTTTTTGGGGGGTGGGGTGGGGTGGGGTGGGTCCTTTCTTCTCCATTCTCCTCTTGGGATCTTGGTCACACATGCACACGTACCCGACATGAGTTTAAGCCAAGCCACCAGGTCTGGAACTCGAACTGTGGTCGACTACATGGAATCCCAGCGACATAGCCATTACACCAACTGCTGGTCCCCATGGAAGTACTTTCTATATCCTTTTCAGTTCCCTTCCTTTATTCCCAGAGGTAACTGGTATCCTAAAATTGCTTGTATCCTGTCCATTGATGTTATTACCATTTTACCATACAGCATATATGGATATATATCCACTGATAATAAAATCATGTTGGGTGTTTTTTTTCTCTTTTTTGGGTTTGCTCTAGGATTCATGTACTTGCTGGAGAGAGACAGAGAGAGAGAGGGAGGGAAAGTGAGAAGCTCCCCCCACCCCCCTGACCCGGGCGGATAGAGGAGATGGAGATGGTTCTGATCCCTCCTCTTCCATTCTCCTCAGGATTTTGGACATGCATACACGTGCACCTGGCCTGTTTTTCAGCCACTGGGTTTCAGACTTGAACTGTGCAGTCAGCCATCTAGGATTCAGCCCCTTAACTACTACATGACCTAGCTGGCTCATGTTAGGTGTTTTTAAAAATTGATGTAAGTGGCATATATTGCTTGTTTATTTTTTGTATCTTGTTTTTTGTATTCAGTATACTTTTGTGTTTTACCCATATTGATATATACATATTTAATCCAACTTTTGTACAGTTATTAAATATACCATATTTTGTTTATCATGTGTTCCACTGATAGACATTTAGATTCCAGTTTTTCACTTACTACCCAGAGCTACTGTGAACATCTTTGTAAATATCTCTTTGAACATATGCAAGAATATTTCGTGGGTAGTGGCTTTCAACTTTTTTTGACCACAAAGAACAATAGAAAAGGTATTTAAATCCAGTGTGGAACCCACCCTTATACACATACAAATTTAACTGAAACAGCTTTTAAAAAAATTACTTAATTCTACTTGCTATTATTATATTTTTAAGAATTATTTAACTTTATTTATTTATTTATTTATTTATTTATTTTTAAATTCTTTCATTGAGGAACAGAGCAAGAGAGAGGGAAAATGAGAAAGCAAGCTGCCTGGTTTGGGACTTGAACTGTGGTTGACCATGTGGAAGTCCAGCACCCTTAACCACCATGCCACCTGCCAGCCCTTATTATGTTTTTAAGAGAGATTTTTGCTGTAGGGTGTGTTCATTCGCTGGAGAAACTGAAAGAGACAGAGACAGAAAGCGAGAAATCACCTCCCAGGAGTCATGGCCACACTGCAATCTCTTCTCCTCCCTTCTCCTCTCGGGATCTTGGGTATGCACGCACATATGCCTGGCATGAGTTTTAAGCAGCTGGGTCCAGGAGTTGAACCACAGTCGACTACATGAGAGTTCAGAGACTTAATCATTATGCCATCTGCTGGTTCTTCTTCTTATTATTATTATTACTTTTAAAATTTGATCAGAGAGAGAGAGAGAGAAAGGGAAAGCAAAAAAGCGAGCCACTAGGTCCAGGACTCAAACAGCCATCAGCTGTGTGGGAGTTCAGTGCCTTAACCACCATGTCACTTGCCAGCCCCAAAGCACAAGTTTTATAAACTGATATTAAAACATACATTGCATGCTGATTTCTTTTTTTTTTAAATTTCCTTAATACTCGTACACAAATGCTGGTCCAGAGCATTGATATGATTTTATAACCTTCATAATGAATCTTGAACTACAGTTTTTGTAGGTTCTGCTGTAGTAAATTTGTTGAGTATTATGATATACAAATTTTCATTTTTACTACAAACTGTAAGTTGTTCTCTGAAATGCTTATTCTAATTTATATTCCTATCACTGATACATAAAACTTCTAAAAGTTATGGTTTTGTTTTTCTTTCTTTCTTTTTTTTTTTTAAGACTGATTTTTGCTATAGGTCACATGTGCTCTCCAGAGAAACAGAGAGAAAGTGGAAAATCATGCCCTGGGGGATGGCAATGCTACATTCCCTTCTCCATTCTTCTCTTGGGATTTTGGGCATTCATGCACATGTGACTGGCATGTGTTTTAAGCCACCAGGTACTGTGCTTGAACTGTGGTCAGCCATGTGAGAGTCTAGCCACACACAATCATTACGCCATCTGTTGGTCCCATTGTTTTTAATTTTTAACATTCAGTCTTTAATTTACCTGGAATTGATTATATGTATGGGACGAACTTGGTATCTAATACTGTTATTTTTTCCCCCCAGAGGTTTTTGCTATAGGGTGCTTACGCTTGCCAGAGAGACAGAGAGATAGAAAGGTAGAAATCACCCCTCAGCAGGGATGGCCATGCCGCAATCCCTTCTCCTCCATTCTCCTCTTGGGATCTTGGTCCCGCACGCACACACACACGTGGTGTGAGATTAAGCCACTGGGTCTGGAATTCGAACCCTGATTGACAGCATGGGAGTCCAACGATGTAGCCATTACACCATCTACTGGTCCCTACTGTTTTTTTTTTTTTTTTCCATCAAATGAATAACAGTTGCACCAAAATCATTTATAGGATAGTCTGTCTTTTCCTTACTGATCTATAATACCAGTTTTATATATCAATTTCCATATTTACTTAGGTCTATTCTCAGAATTAAATTGATTCAAATTTACTCCTGTACTAGTAATAACACATTATAAAATTGATACTGTTTTAAAATAAATCTTGGTATCTGGTAAGATAGGTTTTATCCCTTTGTGTTTTCTTTTATTTGTTGTATTCATAGACCTTACTCTTTCATGGGAATTTTTGTAGTATTTATTGAGTTTCTTTTTTTTTTAATAATTATTTATTTAACTTTGTTTATGTATGTATTTATTTATTTATTTTTCATTTGACCAGAGAGGGACAGAGTGAGAGCGAGAGAGAGAGAGCGAGCAAGCGAGCGGAAGAAAGCCGCTATGTCCAGGACTCGAATCACGGCTGGCCATGGGGAAGTCCAGTGCCTTTAACCACCATGCCACCTGTCAGCAGCAGTATTTGTTGAGTTTCTTGAGAAATGATGTTGGAGTTTGGAAATAAGTTGCATTACATTTTTTTTTAAAGGAATTACTTTCTTCTTTTTGTCTATGGTGAGTTCATGTGCCCTAAAACAAAACTAAAAAAAATTATTGCTAGAGGGCACTTGCATACACCAGAGAGAGAGAGGAAGAGAGAGAGAAAGCACCGTCTGCAATCCTTTTTCCTTTATTTCTCTGTTCTGTCAGGAATTTGGCTATACACAAACATGTGCCTGGCATGTTTTTCTTGGATTTGCTTTGAGATCATATCAAGGGGAAACAGGGTGGGAGGACAGAGGAAGGAAAGGTAGCCATGAGTGATGGGTTTAATTGCTGTTGAGTTTTTGTATGCTGGTTTTGTATCCAGAAAACTTGTTATGTTTTCATATTTGTCTCAGTTTATTTATTTATTTTATTTTTAGAGAAAGACTTTT